GGGCGCACAGGCTCCATAGTTGTGGTGCATGGGCTGAGTTACTCCTCAGCATGTGGGATCTTCCCGGACCAGGGATTGAACTCATATTCCCTGCATTGGCAGGTGGATTCTTAACCACTGGACCACCAGGGGAGTCCCTGTTTACTTTTTAAGACAGGAGAAATAAAAGAATATTTATGCTAATGAAAAGATCTTTGCTTTCCCAGTGATGAACCTAACCTTCTCACTCCCCTTCCTTGCACTTCAGATTTGGATGTTTGCTGTTCCTTGGAACCCTCACTTTGAGGAATGTTAATAGGAACTCTGAACAGATAGAGAACTAGTTATTGTCTCCATGATAACCAGCAAATTGCAAATTTCAGGATATGCAAGTTTTGCTTTTCTATACCATGTGAAAGTCAACTTGTTTCATATGTGGCATTCTCTTTCTCCAAACTTCCCACTACTTTGGAGGACATGACACATTTTAAATGTGGCTGAGAGTCCTTAGGCTTGGTGGAATTGCATTTCTGTTATTTAGCTGCTGTTTAGATGGTTCTTCACACTTGTAATTAGGTGTTTAACTAACCCCACAGTTCACCTCCTTCCTCCATTTCTGTATGATGATGAGTTTCTTTTTTTTTTGGCTGCACTGGGTCTTAGTTGCGGCATGCAAGATCTTCCATCTTGGTTGTGGCGTGTGGGATCTTTAGTTGCGGCATGCAGACTCTTAGTTGCAGCATGTGGGATCTCGTTCCCTGACCAGGGATCAAACCTGGGCCCCCTGCATTGGGAGTGTGGCGTCTTAGCCACTGGACCATCAGGGAAGTCCCTGTTGATGAGTTCTTTAACAATTCTCCTATTTCAACGGAAGGACAGTAACTCAAAAAGTCTTTAAAACTTAATGTGAGTCAATGAGATTTCAATAAAAGTAAATCAGTAACATCCCACCTCCAAACCCCCTAAAAAAACCTAAATATGAATCTTGTGGCAGTAAGTCACAAGATTGTTCACAAACGCTTCTCCTACTCCGGGCACACAGCCAGAGAGCCACCCTTGGCTATGGTGATTTGCCCTCACCAGTGAAATGTAAGCCAAGTGATATTTGTCCCTTCATAGCAGTTTTAAAACCAGTGAGCAGTCTCCCACATCTTCTTGGCTGTCAAGCAGCTATGAAAGCAGTTTTAAGATGAAGACTTAGAAGTTCCCTGGCAGTCCAGTGGTTAGGGCTCCACCATTCCACAGCAGGAGGGCTTGAGTTCGATCCCTGGTCGAGAAACTAAGATCCCACATGGTCTGTGGTGTGGCTAGAGGAAAAAAAAAGATGAAGCCTCTGTCAGCCAACATCTGAGTCATAATGATGAGCAGAGCCTCCTTGCTCATCCAGGATAGACACCTAGTTTGAGAAATAAACTTTAGTTTCGTTAGTTTTATTTTGGGAAGGCAAAAACCTAATTCATCCTGACACAGCGCCTAAGGACAAAAATAAGCAGTGATATACCAGTCTCCACGATAACTAGCAAATTGCAAATTTCAGGATATGCAAGTTTTGCTTTTATACCATGTGCAAAGAAAATCCAGTACATAACACAGGTAACACAACTTGACCTCACTGTCAGTTCTCCACTGAATCAAAAACTATTGAACCTCGAATGTTGTTTTTAAAATATTTCTTCCTAACCAGGAAGGGCAGTTTTCAAGAGACTTAGCTGGACTGCCAGAAACACAGTGCAGTGTATTTCCTATTGCGTTCTCTGCGTCATCTGCATTAGCTCCTCTAAGGATGCTCACCCCAAATGCAGGCTCCCTGGTCTTGTCCTCCTAGATGAATACTGTGGTCCTTAACTCCTAGGAGGTTCTGTTGTCTGGATCTTCACATGTCTCTGTGCTCTAATACAAAATTTTATTTGGTCTTTGTCTTCAGTTCCTGCCAAGAGCTCCTAAAACTCGGAATTTTCCAAGTGATGGGGGAGCTTTTGTTTCTCATAATGAGCCCCTTTGATCACACTTGAGTTTACGCTCATGCGATCACTATGGGTGGGGCCTCTAGATGGCCTCAGGGTGAAGCTGGTCACCAGGAAGACCAAGTGGCCAGATCTCTTGCTGGACCTCCAGGCGGGAGTCGGGGAGGGGCTGGAGGGGAAGGTCTATGCGCTCTTCAGCAGCTGAGATTCAGAGAGCTTCTGCGCTGGTAAGCACATTGAACCCGGGAGGATGGCGTGCCCCTGCGCCCCTCGTTTACTTGTCCTATGCACCTCTTCCACTTGGCTGTTCTGAAGCTATAGCTTTAAAAAAAAAATTGATTTATTCATCTTTGGCAGCACTGGGTCTTCGTTGCTGCACCTAGGAGACTGGGATTTACTCTGTAGCAGTGATGCGCGGGCTTCTCACTGAAGTGGCTTCTCGTGTTGCAGAGCACCGGCTCTAGGCACGCAGGCTCAGTACCTGCAGCACGCAGCCTCAGTAGTTGTGGCGTACAGGCTTAGTTGCTCCGAGGCATGTGGAGTCTTCCTGGACGGGGGATCGAACCTGTGTCCCCAGGATTCGTAGGCGGATTCCCATCCACAGTGCCACCAGGAAAACCCAAGTTACATCTTTTATGATAAACCAGCAAACTGACGTAAATTGTCTGCCCAAGTTCTGTGAGCTCTTCTCAGGAAAACATTGAAGGGAGAGGAAGGGAGTTGTGGGAATCCTCCAATTTTACAAGCAGGTTGAACCTAAGGTAATCTGGGAACCTGACACTTGTGACCAGCATAGGAAGTGAGGGCGATTTTATGGGACGGAGCCTTTAAGCTGGTGGAGTCTGACAATAACTTTGGGTAGTGTCAGAATTGAACTGAATTGTAGGACACCCAGTTGGTGTCTGGAGAAGCAGAGACTTGGTTGTCAGTGTTGCCAAACACCCTACAAATATGTTGTCGGTGTAACACTGAAGTTCACTTTCAACATAATGTCTCATTGGGTTTACCTATGCTTCAATATTAGAGAAGGAATGTTCTTTGAAGAGGCCAAAAAAAAAAAAAAAAAATCACAATTCTGCATAAAAGAATTTTATTTAGCGATCAGATCTCAATGAATAATGCCAGTCATTGCTTGATTCTGTTAAAATGTGCTATTAGATATACTCTTAAAAAGTGTACAGTGCATCACCAAAAGCTATTTAACTTGGATTGTGTAGAGTAAAAGAAAACTTCATAAATCTTTGTTCTTTGATAAAATTTTTAAAATATAAAAATGAAAAAAAACCTCCAGAGCAGTATTCAAAAATAACAAATGTCACCTTGGACTATTTACAGTAAGATGCCTTTCTAATAGGAGAACACTCTTCTTTTCTCACATTTTACTTGGCTGTTAGAGGTATTCTTCCTCCCCCACCTCAGGATTTCTTCTATCCCTATCTTGCAGGAAACGGTCATCTTCTCTCTCATTCATCTTTGAGTCTTTCTCTGATACGCCCTTTTCCCACTCTAAATTACCAGTAATTCTAGTCAACAGATGTTGGTTGAGCACCTAATGTGTGCCAGGCACTGTGCTAAGAAGTGGGGATAAACACAGAAGTGAAAAGTCATTGAACCCCCTCCTCAAGAAGCTCAGAGTTTGTGTTGAATTAAAAAACATTGTTCACATTATAGTCCTTGAAATCTCAAGTCCCTGCGAAGTGAATTTGGGGATTTCTTGAAATAAAGTGCACTCACAGGGTCTGTCAGCTTGGCCCACTCCAAGACATTTTGAATTTAGAATTCTGCTCATTTTATGAAACACAGCCTCTATAAAGCCCAGGCCTACAGTTTGAGTTCTGAACTCTTTGCAGGTGGAAACTACATGCTGGGTTGTAGGGCACTAGCTGAACCAGTTTGTTTTGGGGGGAGGGTACCCTTCTAATTGGCTCCTACAAATTCTGAGTGTGAGAAGCCGGTAACCTCCACCACCCCAGTACAAAATTTAAGCGATAGGTCCATTTGAGAAACTCCCCTCTTGTCTGAACCTCCAACAAGATGCTCTAAAACTCCTACCTTTGACAAATGTCCAGAAGGAGTTCTTTTTATCACCTTTGTACTTTTCTGTGAATATTTTCTTAGCTTCAAACATAAAAGCAGCAAATTGAGCCTACAGGTGACCTTTCCCCCCCGCTTTATCACGGTTGAACCCCAAACAAGTTCAGTTCTTGCATTTGGTCTACATCCTCTTTATCCACGAGACCTCGAAAGACCCATGGTAGTTCCTTACAAAAAAAAAAAAGCAAATCACGAAGTAGCAAATAAAAACCAAACATAGCGTACTATGGAAGCAAAAACGAAACCACACCCTGGCTGCCCCCATCTCTCCATGCCTGGCAGACCTTGGTCCCGCAAATATTCACATTGGGAAATATTTTCTCAGTCACAGTAAAGTCCAAATCATGTGGTGGACTTCCCTCTCACAGCTTGTAGCGTCGAATCTGGTCAGCCAACCACTGAGCGACGATGAAGGGAGTTTCTCTGGGAAAGTTCCATCCTTTGATCCCACATCGTCCGCAGGTTACGAGGGGTCACATCTCTATACAATGTCCGTCCAAGTAAACGATACTTGGTCCATTCAAGAGCCAGATTCACAATTTCCTCATGAGCTGGTTCCAAGCCCTTTGGATCTGAAGGCAACTTTGGGAGTTGGCACTGTTCCCACGTTACATTTGGCCTGCCCCACCCAAGGTAGGGTGATCATAGTGGCTGGAGTATGCGAAGAGGACAGTAAGAACAGAGGGTGTTGGGAGAGAGGGGAAAAAGACGTGATCATGCACAAGCTTCTTGCTCTGTCGTGCATTATATTTTCAGTGTAACAGCGTGTGTTTCGACATACCGGGCTTGTGCTTTTTCGTTAAATAACTCGCCCTGAAAAGCTCATTTGGCAAATGTGGCCACGAATGTGTGTTTCTGCGTGCGTGTGTGTGTGTGTGTGTGTGTGTGTGAGAGACGAGGTTGTGTGTCCTGGCCCCTCCCTCGCTGCCACACCCACCTCCCCGGCAAGGAAAAGCTGAAGGCTTACACCTGGTCGGTTTGATATTCGGAAGCTTCAGACAGGCTTTCTGAGAAGCTTAGGAAGTTCTCCTGGTATTCAGAGCAAACAATCTCGTAGCGATAATGCCGGAACTCCACGGCAAAGGTGCCAAAGTAAGACAGGAAGCACATGACCAGGCCCCACTGGACCCTGGCGGCGTACATGTGGATGCCTTGCGCCATGAGGATGAAGTCTGGGGAGAGGTGGTCAAGGAAAGTGCCTCCATCGGCCACGTTAAGGCTGGGCTCTTCTCTGGGCAGAGACAGGTGACAGAAAAGAGCCAAAGAACTTGACAGGGCCAGCTGAACTCTGTCTACATCAATAATACAAGGTCACGTTATTCAGCCCTTCCTTTGTGCCAGACAGGCTTCTAGGCACTTTCATGGAACACCTAGCTTGACGCTCACAACATCCTATTATCATCAGTTTGTTTAAAATAGGGAGCACAGACCGATGAACCTATTTTCAGGGCCGCAGAGGAGACGCAGACATAGGGAACAGGCTTGTGGACACAGCGGGGGAAGCGGAAGGAGACGGGGGGGACGAATGGAGAGAATAGCATGGAAACATCTACACCACCATATGTAAAAGAAATAGCCAGTGGGAATTTGCTGTATGTCTCGGGTAACAAACCGGGGCTCTGTGACAATCTCGAGGGGGTGGGAGGGAGGTTCAGGAGGGAGAGGATATATGTACACCTAGGGCTGATTCATGCTGATGTATGGCAGAGACCAACACAATGTTGAAAGCAATTCTCCTTCAGTTAAAAATATTAATTTTTAAAAATAGGGAGTAGAGGGGCATGCATGCATGCTCAGTAGTGTCCAGCTCTTTGTGACCCCATGGACTGAAGCCCTCCAGGCTCCTCTGTCCATGGAGTTTTCCAGGCAAGAATACTGCAGTGGGTTGCCATTTCCTACCCAAGTCTCCCGTGTCTCCTGCATTGCAGGCAGATTCTTTACCTGTTGCGCCATCAAGGAAGCCCTTAACATAGGGAAACAGAGGCCAAATGGGTAACACACGTATTAACTGGTGGAACTGGGGTTCAGACACAAGAACTCTGAGTCCTTGCCCATGTATTCGACCACTATTCTTGATGGTGACCTAATAAACTGTGAGACTAGCTAAAGACTTATAATTCCAAAGTAATTATTTGGCCAGAAAAATAATGTTGTTATTTTTAAAAGACACTGCAAATGACTGTGGAACAAGGTGTACTTACCAAATATCGAACTACATCCATATAAGCTGTCTTTGCTTTGTCTTTGCAGTGCTGCCAACGATGTTTAAGTGGCATTCCTTCCTTTCTCTAAGTTTTATTACTGTCTTTCAGACAATATTGTATAGGCTGGTTTCATTCCTGGTGTTGCATTAAACTTGTGCCCAAATAAAAATAGGCAACTAAGAAATCAAAGGAACAGATGATATGTCTATGCCTGAATATAAATGAAGTATATGCATATATGTACACACACATACACATACACACACACACACTTCAGTATATATAAAGGTAGGAGCTTGGAAGAAGGAAGGTTCATAATATTTTTGATTGCAGGGGTCCCCAACCCCCAGGTCATGCACTGCTGCTGGTCCATAGCCTGTTAGGAGCTGGACTGCACAGCAGGAGGTGAGTGGCAGATGAGGGAGCGACGCTTCCTCTGTGTTTTCAGCTGCTCCCTGTTGCTCTCATTACACCTGAGCTCCACCTCCTATCAGATCAGTGGAGGCATTAGATTCTCATGAGAGCGTGAACCCTATCGTGAACTGCCTGTCCAAAGCATCTAGGTTTGGCACTCCTGATAAGAAACATCCTGAAACCATCAGTCTCTCCCAACCACCCCAGTCCATGGAAAAACTGTCTTCCATGAAACTGGTCCCTGCTGCCAAAAAGGTTGGGGACCGATGCTCTAGTGAAAGGCTAAGATGTCAAGGACTAAATAAAATTATTTAGAAAAGTCAGAAATGTTCCCTTAGAATTAGTTCTACCTTCAGAACTTAGACTTAAAATCTTGGGAAATTTTCAGAGAGCAAAAAAGTATGTGACTACTTCAGCTAAACTTTGCTCTCCTGACTAGACTTGGATCCATTCACCAGGGAACCAAGAAATGGTTCTGAAGACTTCTTCAGAAATAACATGGATCAGAATTGTTTAGTATAAGCTCAAAATTAAAAGTAATTCAAAACCCTCACATACTCTTCTGACTGAGGGTTCAAAATATTGCCAAAACAATATTATTATTACTTAATAGGGGAGGGATACATCTTCAGATCTCACACTGGCAGAATTCTGACTTTACTCATAAAATAATTCTGACCTATTTACTCAGATTACTAGTAATAAGCAACTTTTTTGGCTTGAATTTCAAGTCCTTTGATGTTCTCTATGTAATGTGACCAAAGAACTTCAGCAAACCCCTAAAATGATTGAATGGCAGTTTGGGAAGGAAGAAGAAATAAACCCCTCTAAATACTCCACTAACTAAAGAACGTCTTTGAACACTAAATGTTTTCATATTTTAAAGCCACTCTAAGTAAAAGAACTGAGCCTGAGTTTAAAACAAACTGACACATTCCATGTGTGATCTTGGGTAACTAACCTCTGTTACTATCCTTGTTAAGTGAGGATTAAAAGCATAGACATATTTAAAGTTGCTTATAATAATGTCTAGCACATTATAAGTGCCCAATAAATACTGGCTATTCATGAAGTTATACAGTTTCTATAAACTGTGTAACAGTTTCTATAACTGTAAAACATTCATGTTCATTATACAGCTTGCCATCTAGGAACCTTATTCCCTTCTCCACGGTTTCCAGAGAACCTATTGGAGTGAATACTTAGGAATTATTGACTGATCTCACTGGTGGGCTAGGAACTGGCCCGCTTCCCCTGGGCTCCACCCTAGACTAGTCCCTCTGCAATCTGTTTGGGGTTCAACTGAGTGAAGTGCTGTTCTCTGCTCTTTTCCTGATTTCTCTACTTGTTACTGGGTGGAAAAATTGGATTCTAACGTGTGAGATAGGAAGCCTGCATAATTCTCCCTTCCAAGTTTACTAGGAATAAAGGCTGATTTCTTCACACCCATTTGGCACCCATTTGTCTCCTGTGACTGTTCTCCATTGGTTAAAACTCCAAGGGAGGAAGGGAAATAGCACATCAAAACCTCAAAATTATTTGTTTGGGACAACAGTGCAGGCCGTGGTAATCTAGTTCTTGAATTTCTTTTCCAGAAAAGCTTACTTGTTTTTCTGAAAGTTAGAAATGTATTTTTGTCTCTTGAAATGCATTTTTACAGCTTAATAAATTAAATGAAATAACAGAGCCAAGATAAAGTCACAAATGAAAAAAAAAATTGTCAAGATGGAAGAAAAAAAGCACAATTCTCTCAGGTTATGCATTCTATCTATTTCACAAAAGGAAACCTTACGCCACTTGTGATAAGGTGCATGCATGACACCATTCCTACAGATTGAAACAGTTTTGAGCAGGCAGCGCTTGTTGTATCTTTAGTTCTCCATCTCCTCTTTGGCATGAAAAGTAGGTCTGAGCGGTTTTGGTGTTTACTTTTACTTTTTGTTTTTGTCTAATACTCTGAGATGATCTGACAGTATATCCTAAGCAACTGAGAATGGCAATGCTCTCGTCTTCTACAAGGACAGGTCATCTGTGTTTTCATCTCACTGGCAGAGAACCGTTTCACACCCAAAGGATACAGAGGACCACGCAGAGAGTGATGGACGCTGAGAGGATAACTCGTGGAATTCCAACCTTCCGCCCTTCGTTCTTGATGTTGACTTTGAGTGTCAGCGCCGCCTGAATCCAGCAGGTCAGCGTGCCAAATCCAAAAGTCAAGGAAGTTCCGACGTTATGGATTTCTTCATCATTTGTGAGCTAAGGGATGAACAGACAATGACCTGTGGAGGCCCATTCAGAAAATACATAGAGGCCAGTGGAACACGTGAAGGAGAAAGAAATAGGTAAAGAGATGTTCTAAGAGTGGGCTAACAGATTGTAGAAAGAGCAAAATCCTTTATCTCCACTAGCTCTTTGGGTCTATTCTCCATTGGTTTGAACTCTGAGGGAAAGAAAGGAAATGACTAGTACCCTCAAACCTCAAAGCATTTGCTTAGATGAACCAATGAATGAACAGGCAGTGGTGATTTATTTTTTGAATTTATTTTCCAGAAAAGCTTTGGGGAAAAGTAAAAGAAAAAAGCAGGAAAGTTACACATAAAAAGAGAAATGTCAAGTTTCTACAGATATAAACCCCAAACTCTGTTCTCTAGATTAAGAAATCAGACCAGAATCTGGCTGTGTATTTACTGATTGAGGATGGCCAATTCTAAGCAGGTCAAGATTTCATTGGCCTGGACAACTAACAACACTGGTTGTTCTCTACTCTGTTCTGTAATGTGGCCAATCATTGTTAGGTTGAACCTGTGCCCCCTGCAGGGGAAGCGTGCAGTTCTAACTACTGGACTGCCAGGAAATTCCCTTTTCTCCCCCATTATAATAAGAAAAATGCCTGTGGGAGAAGGCAAGGGTGGGATGTTTCTAGAGAACAGCATCAAAACATGTATATTATCTGGGGTGAAACAGATCACCAGCCCAGGCTGGATGCATGAGACAAGTGCTCGGGCCTGGTGCACTGGGAAGACCCAGAGGGATCAGGTGGAGAGGGAGGTGGGAGGGGGGACCGGGATGGGGAATACATGTAAATCCATGGCTGATTCATGTCAATGTATGACAAAAACCACTACAATATTATAAAGTAGTTAGCCTCCAACTGATAAAAATAAATTAAAAAAGTAAGAAAAATGCACTTATGAGCTTTTGCCATATCTGGAGACCCATTAAAAGGCAACAGTGTTTGAAGATTCCTGGTCAAGGCCTTCATACAGTTAAGAGGTTAAAGGAGACCCATTTGGGTTGTCTCATTTGGAAGTGAGAGATGTAAACTGCTCAAATCATTGCCCACTGATTTAAAAAATACACAGCAGTACAGTAGGATTTTTTTCTTCTTTGAAAAGACCCACTACCCCACAGGTCAAAACACATATTTTTGAAACATTTTAAATAATGATTCCACAAATCAAATTCTTCTAGAAAACAGGCTCTCCATGTTGTACATAATCTGTTTATTTTTTAAATCTAGTTTTAAAAATAGATGGTATATTTAGTAACATGGGTCAAATTTTTAAAAATTATGAAAAGAGTACAGGTTGAAAAGTCTGTCTCCTATCTCATATACTAGTTACCTGGTTTCTTAATAGGCAACTGCATTATTTGTTTCCCGTGTAATCTCTGTAGATACTCCAGAAAATGTTCTGTGAAGAACATGTAGTATCATCATTGATGGGTTTGAATATTTGTGGTTCAATCAGTGGGATTGAAGAAACCCATCAATGGCATTAAAGAAACCCATCGATGGGATTCTTTAGGGAACTTAAGTGAAAGACAAAATGTTTACTCAGTAACTTCCATCCAAGACCCAGTTGAAAGAAATGATAGTTATTGAGCATTTTATAACATGCCAGCACTTGTAGCACAGAAGCATAAGTGGAAGAAAGACTCCCACCAAAATCTCAATAGAAAAAAAATGCTCTGTGCCCTAACATTTTGGAGCTCAACAGATAAACTCTCAAATATTCTCCTGATACTTCTCTGTCCAAGGCAATAGGTTCTAATAATGCAGCTTTCTAATTATTGGGGTTGATATGGAATGAGACCTTGGGCAATTAGAGGAATTGGTGGGATTGCACGCCTATCTGTTAGATGACCTGTTAAGTAAAAAAAATACTGTACCAGGGGATGTCTGGGGGAATGAGATACTGCTGCTGCTGCTAAGTCGCTTCAGTTGTGTCTGACTCTGTGCGACCCCATAGACGGCAGCCCACCAGGCTCCCCCATCCCTGGGATTCTCCAGGCAAGAACACTGGAGTGGGTTGCCATTTCCTTCTCCAGTGCATGAAAGTGAAAAGTGAAAGTGAAGTCGCTCAGTCGTGTCTGACTCTTAGCAACCCCATGGACTGTGGCCCACCAGGCTCCTCCGTACATGGGATATTCCAGGCAAGAGTACTGGAGTGGGGTGCCATTGCCTTCTCCGGATGAGATACTAATTTAATGGATTATCAGCACTGAGGAGTCAAGGCAAGAGTCAGTCTTAGAAAACCCACTACTGTATTTTCAGTGAGAACATTATGAAACACTCACTGGAGTGCTGAGTGTCTGGAATGCCTTCACCATTTGGATTTCACTCAGTAGACAAGGGAGAAGTGTCAGGATCAGCATTTAATTGCAAGAAGGAAGTTTCTAGTAGCAGTATTTAGCAGAGGCTGGAGGATGCTGGGGAGGAAATGGAGGCAGGGAGAACAGACAACCACTGTAACAGTGCAGTGGTCTCCATGACTTAAAAAATGAAGTCAAGAGTTGAGTGATGGTATTGACAAGGGAAATTATGCTTAAATGACCTTGGGTATGTGTTAGTCGCTCAGTGGTATATGCCTCTTTGCAATCCTGTGGACTGTAGCAAGCCAGGCGCCTCTGTCCACGGGATTTTCCAGGGAAGAATACTGGAGTGGGTTGCATTTCCTCCTCCAGGAGTCCCTCCTCTAGGAGTCAAACCTGGGTCTCCTGCATTGCAGGCAGATTCTTTACCACCTGAGCCACCAGGGAAGTCCCTAAATGACCTTTCACTTTTATATTTCTGGGAAGAAGAGTTAGGGTTAGTACATCTTTATACAAGTCACAGGTATTCTAAAGAAATTCTGGATTTTCAAACTAACTCCCATGTGAGCCTGCTAATCTGAAACACAAGCTTTCATCCAATAAGGATGTTCAATGTTTAATTATAGAAAGGCAATGGTCCTATTAGTTTTCTACAAAGGTAGATTAGGATACAATTTGTTATGAAAAAAGTATACAACACTTTGAAAGCCCTTGTAGAAAATACACAGCTATTTTAGTAGCTGCGTTTTCCAGTAGCTGTGCTATATGTCTGATGTACAGTGAGGACTTTCCCGTGTATGGACAAGGGAAGCCTGGCATATTGCAGTCCACGGGCTTGCAAAGAGTTGGACATGATTGAGCGACTGAACTGACTGAGATGAGACTCAATGATCAGACTGCTGGAGAACCTGTGCATATTAGGAACCACTGTTAGAATGTTTTTAAAAGTCCATGGAGAATTTTATGGGCCACATAGTGACTATACCCTACTGGCTGTGATAATCATATAGGCGAAGCATGAGATGGAGATGAAAAAGGCCAAATGAAGTACCTGAAAATTACCAAGTAAGGTCATTCCAAAGGAAGCCAGACAGAGAGCCACCAAGCCACTAATATTCAGCCATGGATTTAAAACCTTTGGTTTCAGTTGTATGAAGCGCAGAACAGCTACCACAAGAGCTGGGAATAAAACAAAATGTTATAATTGAAAAATTGAAATCACACAGTCAGACTAGGAAATAGCATTCTAAAGCCACAATGTGCAAAAGTAAACTTCTTGCCATCGTACATTTTTAAATCTCTAAAACGACAATTTTTCAAAGAAAACTTGCAGGCAATGTTTCTGATTATTGAGATGTTTTATTTTAGCTAACCCAGGGAAAGCAGGAATTGAAGCAGCAGTGTTACATGTTACTTGGGTGATGCAAGATAATAGACTGGTAATAGTGTTGTTCCCAGAGTTTTCAAAAACAAGGTCAGCACAGGACAGACTGGCTTAGGAGAGCATTGCAGAGGCTTGGCACACAACAAATCAGATGCAGAGAGTCGGCCCATGGCACGAGAATTCACTGATTCAATCACCCTTTAATTGAGAGCAGTGTTAGGACAGATAGGGCAAGAAAACATGGGGAAGAAGACATGGTTATCAGTCTAGACAAACCTGCTCGTGCCTGTGCCAGAAATCATTCCTGGGTATGGGAAGGAAGATAAAGCAAATATACAAATCCCTTCATTACTAGTTTCTCCCTCTCCCCTCTGATTCTACCTGTTGGTGTTTATTGTCAAAGGACAAAGATAGTTCATCCAAATTAGGGCACTGACAGCAATAAAATCATGGAATCTGTATTTTAACACAGCAGATCTGGGGGTTTGGTATGTATTAAAAATCATACTGTGACTATATTAAGAAAGCCCAGTTCTTTCAAATAATGTTAATTACTCATTTTAAAAGCCCACTCTTTTCAACCAAATTGTCATTGGAGAATCTGAAGAGAGAATGAAGGAAGTTACTTAGATTTCAAATGTGACTTCTTTTTTTTTTTTTTTAATTTTATTTTATTATTATTATTTATTTTTATTAGTTGGAGGCTAATTACTTTACATCATTGCAGTGGTTTTTGTCATACAGTGAAATGAATTAGCCATGGATTTACATGTATTCCCCATCCCGGTCCCCCCTCCCATCTCCCTCTCCACCGGATCCCTCTGGGTCTTCCCAGTGCACCAGGCCCGAGCACTTGTCTCATGCACCCAACCTGGGCTGGTGATCTGTTTCACCCTAGATAATATACGTGTTTCGATGCTGTTCTCTTGAAACATCCCACCCTCGCCTTCTCCCAGAGTCCACAAGTCTGTTCTATACCTCGGAGTCTCTTTTTCTGTTTTGCATATAGGGTTATCGTTACCATCTTTCTAAATTCCATATATATGTGTTAGTATACTGTAATGGTCTTTATCTTTCTGGCTTACTTCGCTCTGTATAATGGGCTCCAGTTTCATCCATCTCATTAGAACTGATTCAAATGAATTCTTTTTAATGGCTGAGTAATATTCCATGGTGTATATGTACCACAGCTTCCTCATCCATTCGTCTGCTGATGGGCATCTAGGTTGCTTCCATGTCCTGGCTATTATAAACAGTGCTGCGATGAACATTGGGGTGCACGTGTCTCTTTCAGATCTGGTTTCCTCGGTGTGTATGCCCAGAAGTGGGATTGCTGGGTCATATGGCAGTTCTATTTCCAGCTTTTTAAGAAATCTCCACACTGTTTTCCATAGTGGCTGTACTAATTTGCATTCCCACCAACAATGTAAGAGGGTTCCCTTTTCTCCACACCCTCTCCAGCATTTATTGCTTGTAGACTTTTGGATAGCAGCCATCCTGACTGGTGTGTAATGGTACCTCATTGTGGTTTTGATTTGCATTTCTCTGATAATGAGTGATGTTGAGCATCTTTTCATGTGTTTGTTAGCCATCTGTATGTCTTCCTTGGAGAAATGTCTGTTCAGTTCTTTGGCCCATTTTTTGATTGGGTCATTTATTTTTCTGGAGTTGAGCTGGAGGAGTTGCTTGTATATTTTTGAGATTAATCCTTTGTCTGTTACTTCGTTTGCTATTATTTTCTCCCAATCTGAGGGATGTCTTTTCACCTTGCTTATAGTTTCCTTTGTTGTGCAAAAGCTTTTAAGTTTCATTAGGTCCCATTTGTTTATTTTTGCTTTTATTTCTAAAATTCTGGGATGTGGGTCATAGAAGATCCTGCTGTGATTTATGTCGGAGAGTGTTTTGCCTATGTTCTCCTCTAGGAGTTTTATAGTTTCTGGTCTTACATTTAGATCTTTAATCCATTTTGAGTTTATTTTTGTGTATGGTGTTAGAAAGTGTTCTAGTTTCATTCTTTCACAGGTGGTTGACCAGTTTTCCCAGCACCACTTGTTAAAGAGGTTGTCTTTTTTCCATTGTATATCCTTGCCTCCTTTGTCAAAGATAAGGTGACCATAGGTTCGTGGATTTATCTCTGGGCTTTCTATTCTGTTCCATTGATCTATATTTCTGTCTTTGTGCCAGTACCATACTGTCTTGATGACTGTGGCTTTGTAGTATAGTCTGAAGTCAGGCAGATTGATTCCTCCAGTTCCATTCTTCTTTCTCAGGATTACTTTGGCTATTCGAGGTTTTTTGTATTTCCATACAAATTGTGAAATTATTCGTTCTAGTTCTGTGAAAAATACCGTTGGTAGTTTGATAGGGATTGCATTGAATCTGTAGATTGCTTTGGGTAGTATAGCCATTTTGACAATATTGATTCTTCCAATCCATGAACACGGTATGTTTCTCCATCTGTTTGTGTCCTCTTTGATTTCTTTCATCAGTGTTTTATAGTTTTCTATGTATAGGTCTTTTGTTTCTTTAGGTAGATATACTCCTAAGTATTTTATTCTTTTTGTTGCAGTGGTGAATGGTATTGTTTCCTTAATTTCTCTTTCTGTTTTCTCATTGTTAGTGTATAGGAATGCAAGAGATTTTTGTGGGTTAATTTTATATCCTGCAACTTTACTGTATTCGTTGATTAGCTCTAGTAATTTTCTGGTAGAGTCTTTAGGATTTTCTATGTAGAGGATCATGTCATCTGCAAACAGCGAGAGTTTCACTTCTTCTTTTCCTATCTGGATTCCTTTTATTTCTTTTTCTGCTCTGATTGCTGTGGCCAAAACTTCCAAAACTATGTTGAATAGTAGTGGTGAGAGTGGGCACCCTTGTCTTGTTCCTGATTTCAGGGGAAATGCTTTCAATTTTTCACCATTGAGGGTGATGCTTGCTGTGGGTTTGTCATATATAGCTTTTATTATGTTGAGGTATGTTCCTTCTATTCCTGCTTTCTGGAGAGTTTTAATCATAAATGGATGTTGAATTTTGTCAAAGGCTTTTTCTGCATCTATTGAGATAATCATATGGTTTTTATCTTTCAATTTGTTAATGTGGTGTATTACATTGATTGATTTGCGGATATTAAAGAATCCTTGCATTCCTGGGATAAAGCCCACTTGGTCATGATGTATGATTTTTTTAATATGTTGTTGGATTCTGTTTGCTAGAATTTTGTTAAGGATTTTTGCATCTATGTTCATCAGTGATATTGGCCTGTAGTTTTCTTTTTTTGTGGCATCTTTGTCTGGTTTTGGAATTAGGGTGATGGTGGCCTCATAGAATGAGTTTGGAAGTTTACCTTCTTCTGCAATTTTCTGGAAGAGTTTGAGTAAGATAGGTGTTAGCTCTTCTCTAAATTTTTGGTAGAATTCAGCTGTGAAGCCATCTGGTCCTGGGCTTTTGTTTGCTGGAAGATTTCTGATTACAGTTTGGATTTCCTTGCTTGTGATGGTTTTGTTAAGATCTTCTATTTCTTCCTGGTTCAGTTTTGGAAAGTTATACTTCTCTAAGAACTTGTCCATTTCTTCCAAGTTGTCCATTTTATTGGCATAGAGCTGCTGGTAGTAGTCTCTTATGATCCTTTGTATTTCGGTGTTGTCTGTTGTGATCTCTCCATTTTCGTTTCTAATTTTGTTAATTTGGTTCTTCTCCCTTTGTTTCTTAATGAGTCTTGCTAATGGTTTGTCAATTTTGTTTATTTTTTCAAAAAACCAGCTTTTAGCTTTGTTAATTTTTGCTATGATCTCTTTAGTTTCTTTTGCATTTATTTCTGCCCTAATTTTTAAGATTTCTTTCCTTCTACTAACCCTGGGGTTCTTCATTTCTTCCTCCTCTAGTTGCTTTAGGTGTAGAGTTAGGTTATTTATTTGACTTTTTTCTTGTTTCTTGAGGTAGGCCTGTAATGCTATGAATCTTCCCCTTAGCACTGCCTTTACAGTGTCCCATAGGTTTTGGGTTGTTGTGTTTTCATTTTCATTCATTTCTATGCATATTTTGATTTTTTTTTTATTTCTTCTATGATTTGTTGGTTATTCAGAAGCGTGTTGTTTAGCCTCCATATGTTTGAATTTTTAATAATTTTTTTCCTGTAATTAAGATCTAATCTTACTGCACTGTGGTCAGAAAAGATGACTGGAATGATTTCAATCTTTTTGAATTTACCAAGACTAGATTTATGGCCCAGGATGTGATCTATTCTGGAGAAGGTTCCGTGTGCACTTGAGAAAAAGGTGAAGTTGATTGTTTTGGGGTGAAACGTCCTATAGATGTCAATTAGGTCTAGCTGGTTCATTGTGTCCTTTAAAGTTTGTGCTTTGTTCATTTTCTGTTTAGTTGATCTATCCATAGTTGTGAGTGGGGTATTAAAGTCTCCTACTATTATTGTGTTACTATTAATTTCCTCTTTCATACTCGTTAGCGTTTGCCTTACATATTGCGGTGCTCCTATGTTGGGTGCATATATATTTATAATTGTTATATCTTCTTCTTGGATTGATCCTTTGATCATTATGTAGTGTCCATCTTTGTCTCTTTTCACAGTCTTTATTTGAAAGTCTATTTTATCTTATATGAGTATTGCGACTCCTGCTTTCTTTTGGTCTCCATTTGCACGCTGACTGCAACAACTCCAGAGAAATTCCTAGATATATAGATATATTTTTTTTAATTTAAAAAAAAATTTTTTTTTCTATCCTTTTTTAAATTTTTTTTTATTTTTTCTCTTTTATTTTCTTTTAAAATTCCCTATTAC